GGAATGGCAGATATTTCCCACTCCTGATATACTGAGTAAATCTCTCATTTGTAGATGATTTACAAAAATATCTGAGACTTAATTATTTAACAATTGCTGTAAAGTGAATTCTCCCATATCCTGCCCTAAATTATATTGCTAAAATGGAGAAAACTTGTGGTAACTCAGAGAAACTTGTGTCTGAAAGAACTGTGAGGTCCATTTAGTTTAAAACAAATTGCAGAGATCAAATTGCTGGCAAAATCACCTTTGAGTATTTCTTGCCTAAAAATTCATAGGATCACCATAAGTCAACAGGCAACATCAAGGTGTGCACGCACACAATCCTGAACACGGGAGCCTCATTGTAAAGAACAATTGATGACTGGGTATTTGTTGAGTCAAAACCTAAGACTGGTATCTGCATATGCATATGTAGTAGTAAGTGGCTCTTTTTCACAACAACTAGAATTAATAATCTCATAACTGAATATTTTACACGCTGGGTTATGCAAACTGGTGCTCATAGTAATTTAGACTGAAATAGTATACTTGGCTCAGGAAAGGTACTGTAAGAAGTGATGGAGATTTGTGTGATTTTGACCTATTTTCTGACACCATCTGAATGTAAAAATAGAGCACAGGGGTACTTGATGATTAACTGGCCTATTTCTTGTTAATAGTTCATCCCTTGAAGATTATCATAATATCAATTTTGTTGAGAAGGGTTCACACTGTTATTCAGAGGAGGTATTTTGGGGGAGAGGGGAGAAAGTAAGACTATTGGGAACTGTTGACATTGCAGAACTGCAATGATAACCACCAATAACCATTCCACCCCAAAGGATGGACTACAGACTATAAGGAATAAAATCTATGACAGTATTGCAGCACATCTAGTTTTACCAGGCTGCACTTATCAACAAATACTTGGAGTTTGAGAGAAAAGAGCAATGGAAGTCCAGGATCTTTGTGACAAACTTGGAAGAGGACTTGCTCAGTTCATGTCACCAAAGGCCTCCTCAACAACATCTTTAATTAACTGGACTCATGGAGGTTAAGGACTTCTACCAGGACCTAATTTACCTTTACTGTCAGCCTTTGACCAACATGTGCAGCAGACAAGTGTAATTGCTTCCCTTTCTGAACACTATTGTGCAACTAGAGGATAGAAACAGTAAAATCAGAAACTAGAAGAAGGAAGGCCGACTCCCTTCTTGTCCTACATACTTCCTGTTTCTATCAAGAACTGTGTTGCCATCATGATCAAGATAAAACCAAAATATATTATCAGTCTGTCCTGGACAATGAAAATCAGAAGCCCTCTTATTATGTTCAAGGATATTTAAGTATATGTTTCCTACACATTACCAGTAGGTGAGGTGCCAAGGTCTAACACACAAAACCTTACAATTCTGACATGTGTTTTCTTAATATTTGCCCCTCTTTCATAATTGTGTAAAACTGGCTAGGAAGCAGACTTGTTTTCTGCTTCCCTGGAGACTAGAACTTGGAGCAATGGGTTCAAATTACAGGCAAGAAGATTCCACCTGAACATTAGGAAGAACCTCCTGACTGTACCAAGCTCTTCAACAGTCAAACTCTCATCCTCAAAAAGAGAGAGAAGCTCTTTCTTTGGAGGCTTTTAAACAGATACTGAATGGCCATCTGTCAGGGGTGCCTTGATTGTGTTTTTCCTGCATGACCGGAAGTTGAACTAGATGACCCACGTGGTCTCTTCCAGTTCTATGATTCTATGAAGAACTGGATTCATTATATAGACTGTGTCACAAAATACTTAAACACACTTGTAATAAGACTGAAAGCTTTTAACAAAACAAGGCTGAGACTTCAAATGAAACAGCTGGATATTAACAGTCTCTTTAAGAAAAGCAATATTGAAGATCAACTGCATAACATTTACAGGCATCTTCATGCAAAGAGTATCACTTTTATATAGTCTACCATGATATTCAATTTTCTCTTAGTGAATACGGTTAGCATCTGCTTATGTATAATGGGCATGGGTTTCTTTTCCTTGTGTATGGAAACGACATGTGGATTTTAGGACCTTTCATTAAAGCTGTAATTTATTCTTTTCACCACCAAGCCCATGTAGAAAGAAAGGGATAATTAGGTAATAAATACTAGAGACGCTAACAAGATTCGGTGCATCTGAATTTCCTTTTACATTTCAATTTTCTGGTTCTGCAACAAATCTGATAAGTTATTGATCTATTGTTTGTATTTTTAACATGTTGCAAATATCAGGTGCACACAAGATGGCCTGTTTTTTGCTTGTGCTTTTTTAAAGGTCCAAGTTTCTGATGGCCATCTGTGGCCACAGACAGCTGAAAATGTGATTTGTGTGCAGACAATGCAACAAACACACATCCTGATATTACAGTATCATCTAACCAAAATTCCTTTTTTGATGCAATTTTATTAGTGCATCTGGAAAGAAATGGAGTCAGGGCTTGTTCTTCTATTAGGTAGAACCAGACAATTCTTTTAGTTCACAACTGGTAAGAGACAGTGGTTCCCTAGTCATTATATTTCCACGATAGCCATCCAGTCTGGCCTTTAATTAGTACACCTTTAATTGGTGCCACACAGTCCGGACTTCTTCCCCTAAGATTCACCAAACCTCAATGTTCAATTGCCACCCATTAGGTTTCTGTATGTGAAATGGATGAGAATGCTGTATTGAGCTGGCCTTGGATAAAACCGTTTTTCTGTGCAAGCACATTGTTTCAATGGATGGGCCAGTAAAATACTCTGCCCTTGGGCAAGTCTAACAAACCTCTCAACCTTTGAGGATACCTGCCAAAGATGTAGGTGAAATGCCAGGAGAGAATGCTTCTGGAACATGGCCATACTGCCCAGAAAACTCACAGCAACCTACACTCTTCCAGCCGGAAATGACTTGAAGGCCCACAACAACAACACATATGATGGTGTCAAATGGCTCTAATTGAAATATTCTCTTATCATGGCTATTTTTTTTTCTTTCTGGTACCAGATTTAGGAAGGTTTCAATTAGTACAGCTTTTTTATCATTAAAACCTTAACGTCCTAACCTTAAATTAGGATGTTAAGTTTCCCACACTCTTAACATTTTTCAGAGTTGTCAAGCTCTCTTTTTTTTCTTTATCAAATATACATTTATGTCCCACATAACATATTTTCTTTCATTTGCTCAAAGATACACCCACACACAGTCAGCCTTTATTCATATATTTTTATGAGCCCCTTGTGGCACAATGGGTTAAATCCAAAAGGTCAGTGGTTCGAATCCAGGGAGCGGGGTGAGCTCCCATCTATCAGCTCCAGCTTCTCATACAGGGATATGAGAGAACCCTCCCACAGGATGGTAAAGCATCTGGGTGTCCCCTGGGCAACATCCTTGCAGACAGCCAATTCTCTCACACCAGAAACAACCTGCAGTTTCTCAAGTCGCTCCTGACAGGGGAAAAAAAAAGAGGGCTAATAAATTGTTTCGAGCTCAGGAACTTTTGCAGTTTTGATTTTTAGTGGGTATGTTCAGTTATAAGCAATACTCAAATATGGCAATGATATGATGAAATACAATTAAATGCAATTAGTTGTCCTTTTAGTCATGTTTAGATATAAATTCCCTACAAGCCTTAACAGTATCTAATGGCTGAAATGCATCCTCCATCCATTAAAATGGCTTTTTAGCTAATAAAAAATTCATTATTTCCAGCCATCCGTGACATGCCTCCATTTTCTCTTATAGATTTCACGGAATGTTCCCTAGTTCGGTCCATGTAGAGTTGTTGTTATTGTTGCTACTATTGTTATTGTTGTTAATGCCCTACTGAAGTACCAAGTTATTTATGTGCTAGCCATCCCCTGCCATGTCTTTATGCGGCCCAGTCTGGTGATCTGGAAAATAAAGTAATGAGAGTGTTGGTTTCTAATACATGTAATTTCTTTATACTTGTGGATAAACAGTATTTCTTACTGTTTCTTTGTCAGTGTTGATGTGGAGATTGTGTGGTTTCTCTACTCTGGAACATGCAACATATAATTGTCCTTTAGGGGTCCCTTTCAAATCTATATCTCTCTGTGTGCGAATCATATCTATCTATCAATATCTATGGCTGGATGGCTCTTTGTCAGGAGGGCTTTGATTATGTTTTCTTGCCCTGGTGAACGGAGCTGGACTGGATGGCCTTAAGTATTTTCTGTCGGTCATGGGGGTTCTGTGTGGGAAGTTTGCCCCAATTCTGTCATTCATGGGGTTCAGAATGCTCTTTGATTGGAGGTGAACTATAAATCCCAGTAACTACAACTCCCAAATGTGAATGCTTATTTTCCCCAAACTCCATCTGAGTTCATATTTGGGCATATGGAATATTTGTGCCAAGTTTGGTCCAGATCCATCATTGTTTGAGTCCACAGTGCTCTCTGGATGTAGATGAACTACAACTCCCAAACCCAAGGTCGATGCCCACCAAACCCTTCTGGTGTTTTGTGTTGGTCCCGGGAATCCTGTGTGCCCATCATTGGTGGAGTTCAGAGTGCTCTTTGGTTGTAGGTTAACTATAAATCCCAGCAACTACAACTCCCAAATGATAAAATCTATTTTTTTTTAGTGACGGTGACTTCTTGGGTTAGTAGATTTCTTGTGGCCAAATTTGGTCGCAATTCGTCCACTGGTTTTTGAGTTATGTTAATCCCACAAACGAACATTATATTTTTATTTATATAGATTTGCAACTATTTGCAGTGTAAGCAGGCATGGGCAAACTTGGGCCCTCCTCCAGGTGTTTTGGACTTCAACTCCCACAATTCCTAACAGCCTACCGGCTATTAGGAATGGTGGGAGTTGAAGTCCAAAACACCTGGAGGAAGGCCAAGGTTTGCCCATGCCTGCCTAGTGTATCTGGATCCTTGTTCTTTTCCCAATTCCTATACCTTTGCAGTTCAAAGCGAAACCACGCGGGGGCGCAGGCAAGCAGACACTCATAGATAGGGTGCTGCGGGCTTTTAGTTTGTGCTTTGTTCCGTCTTATATTCTTTAAACGCATCCCTTCTTGAAGGTCAGAGTAGCCAAGCAATCCCTCTGCCCATCAGGTTCCACAAAGTGACCCTAAAACGCCTCTTTCGCAGGACTGAGAGCCCTCTTTCGGGCTGTTTTCACTCTCTGCACTGAGGCGGAACGTATCTCTCGAGTGACGGTTTCCTCCAGGAAGCCTTTTCCTGGAACACCAAGGAGTCACTGCAAAGGGGAGGGAAGCCGTGTCCTACTGCAGGTTTGTGATGCTGGCTTGCCTGTGTTTGTGTGGCACTGGGCGCCTTTTCCTCCTTTCTTCCCGGGTGGAAGGCGCTGCGACAGAGGACCCTTCCACACAGCCATATAACCTAGAATATCAAGGCAGAAAATCCCACAATATCTGCTTTGAACAGGGTTATCTGAGTCCACATTGCCATATATTCCAGTTCAGATCAGAAAATATGCAATTTTATTCAGCTGTGGGGATGGGGCCTACCACTGCAGAATGAGGCCCCTTCCACACAGCTGAATAAAATCCCATATTATCTGCTTTGAACTGGGATATATGGCAGTGTGAACTCAGGGCCCGTCCACACAGACATATAACCCAGAATATCAAGGTAGAAAATCCCACAATATCTGCTTTGAACTGGGTTATCTGAGTCCACACTGCCATATATTCCAGTTCAGAGCAGAAAATGTGTGATGTTATTCAGCTGTGGGGAAAGGGCCTACACTGCAGAATGAGGCCCCTTCCACACAGCTGAATAAAACCCCACATTTTCTGCTTTAAACTGGAATATATGGCAGTGTGGACTCAGGGCCCTGCCACACAGAGATACAGTCCAGAATATCAAGGCAGAAAATCTCACACTATCTGCTTTGACCTGGATTATCTGAGTCCACACTGCCATATAGTCCAGTTTAAAGCAGAAAATATGGAGTTTCATTTAGTTGTATGGAAGGGGCCTCAGAAAACCCAGTTCAAAGCAGATATTGTGGGATTTTCTGTCTTGATATTCTGGGTTACGTTACCGTGTGGAAGGGCCCTGAATTGTTTTTAACAGCCATGACTCCATGCTATGGGTTCATGGGAATTGTAGTAACACAACAACACCTTTAGCCTTCTTTGTCAAAGAGTGCTGATGCCTCATCAAATTACAAATCCAGGATTCCATGTAGCACAAAGCCATGGCAGTTAAAGTGGTGTCGAACGTCCTCAATCCTGCAGTGAAGATGCACCCAGTGTTGACACTTCATGCATCCAAATACACTACTGCTATGTTTTGCCTTTGCTCCTAAAATCTGGGAAGTTCAGACCCCTTCCACACAGCGATATAACCCAGAATATCAAGGCAGAATAACACACAATATCTGCTTTGTACTGGGTTATCTGAGTCCACACTGCCATATATTCCAGTTCATAGCTGAAAATATGGGATTTTATTCAGCTGTGTGCAAGGGACTTACACTGCAGAATGAGGGCCCTTCTACACAGCTGAATAAAATCCCACATTATCTTTTTTGAACTGGGATATCTGGCAGAGTGGACTCAGATAACCCAGTTCAAAGCAAATATTGTGGGGTTTTCTGCCTTGATATTCTGGGTTATATGGCTGTCTGGAAGGGCACTGAATGGCTTTTAACAGCCATGGCTCCATGCTGTGGGATCATGGGAGTTATAATACCATAACAATACCCTAACCTTTAGCTTTCCTTGCCAAAGAGCGCTGATGCCTTAACAATGATGGATCTGGACCAAATTTGGTTCCTAAGATCATCATATGTGTGTTCTGGTGGTCTTTGGTGTCCCCTCTGACACTCCCCTCACAACCCCCCAGGGGACCCAACCCGCAGGTTGAGAAACACTGGTGTACACCTTCATGTTAATCTTCAAGGAATGGAGTTCAATGTGCATTATAATGGCAGTGTAGATGGGGCCCTAATACAGAGATAACAATCTTAGCAAATAGTGAGTCACTGATTGGTTTCAGGTTTGCGGTTGTGACCCCAACATTGAATTAAAGGGACTCCATTTGGTGTTGGTGAGATTTGTTCAGAGGTGGGTTATCATTGCCTTCTGTAGCTGAGAGAGTGTGACTTGCCTAAGGTCACCCGTTAAGTTTCTGTGGCAGAATGGGGATTCAGAACTTGGTCTTTATATTATTGCAATGATACAGAATGGGGGACTCCTGACTTGACAGCAATACATGTGAAAAAGATCTTGGAGTCCTTGTGGACAAGTTAAACATGAGCCAACAATGTGATGCTGCTGCTAAAAAAGCCAATGGGATCCTGGCCTGCATAAATAGGAGTATAGTGTCTAGATCCAGGGAAGTCATGCTACCCCTCTATTCTGCCTTGGTTACACCACACCTGGAATACTGTGTTCAAATCTCTACACCACAATTGAGGGGAGATATTTACAAGCTGGGTTGTGTCCAGAGGAGAGTGACTAAAATGATCAAGAGTCTGGAAAACAAGTTCTATGAGGAGCAGCTTAAACAGCTGGACATGTTTAGCCTGCAGAAGAGAAGACTGAGAGGAGACATGATAGCCATGTGAGGAAGTCATGAGAGGAAGTCATAGGGAGGAGGGAGCAGGCTTGTTTTCTGCTGCCCTGGAGACTAGGACGCAGAACAATGGCTTCAAACTACAAGAAAGGAGATTCCATCTGAACACTAGGAAGAACTTCTTATGAGAGCTGTTCAGCAGTGGAACTCTCTACTCTGAAGTATGGTGGAGGCTCTTTCTATGGAGGCTTTTAAATAGAAGCTGGATGTCCATCTGTTGGGGGTGCTTTGAATGTGATTGTCCTGCTTCTTGGCAGGGGGTTGGACTGGATGACCCACCAGGCCTCTTCCAACTCTATGATTCTATGATTCTAGTCTGACACTCAAAACGCTACACCACACAGGCTCTCTTGCTCTCTCTTGATTTTTCGTGGTTTCATTTTCAGTAAATGTTCTAATTAAACATATGTATGTTACTAGTCATCTGGATATATTTGCTCTGTAGACTGTTTTCTATAGGTCACCAACTCTTTGTGGTGAACACTGTAGTTTGGTTTGTGTTGAATGATTTATGGAGAATGTGTTGTAACCCAGATCTATGGAAACCTGGAGAATTGGAAGTTTGGTAATAAGATCTAGGGGTTGCATACATGGTTTAGAAGTTCTATTGATTGTATCCTGCCTAGCTGCGATATACTGATGATAAGGAGAAGTGGCCAGTTCTCCCTTATTTTAAATGAAGAAATACTTGGCAGCCTCTCTTTTCTTTCATTTTTAGATTTGCATATTTATGTGGAATCTCATTCACACAATTGAAATGACTTGGTAGTAAATGTGCATGAGATTGCTTCCAAATTTCACATCTATCTCCCATTGTTCTTCCATTAATTTTTTGTTCTCCTTTTGATTAGTTATAAAGTAATTAGAGTTGATGGTAGGGAAAAATGTTTTCCTGAAGCATATCCTGAAGCTACTACAGTTTTCTCTCCCTAAAGCTTACATATAAAGAGTTGACAGTGAAATGTGAATGTACTGAATTCTAATCACTGACAGGAAAAAAATCTAATTCTAAATTTTATTACCAAACCAACTACCAGTTTAATGCATATATCATTGATTATTTCTAAATTGCTATGCTATGAATATCTGTTTGCTCCTTGTAAATCACTACAGCTTGAAATGCAGCCACATTTGTAAATATTAGGGTGGAGGTTGACATACCTGTCTAGGCGGAAATTATGTTTAGAAGCAGAGCAAATTACAACTCTCACTCCATAAGATTTGGGTAAGGCTGTTTGCAATTCATATCAGCATTTCAATGCATTATACAAGCACAGAAATGTAACTCTGAAAATTCTTTTCTGGGCTGGTATATCTATCTTTTAAGATACTGCTGTTTTCTAAGCTCAAGCAAGGGAATGTGTGGTGTAAGGCCAGGGCAAGAATGTGGAAGCTGCCTCCCCAGATGTTGGACTCCAGCTCCCATCACTCTTTGCTATGTTAGGTGGGACAGATAGGAACAGCATTCCAGCACCATCTGAAGTGCTGTACATTTGCTACCTAGTCCCAAGTAGTGTAAATGTTCTTGTAGACTCAAGTTTTATAAGTTTAGCATTGTCATGTTACAAATGGTCTCTGGGAAGTGATGTCCAATTGTAGAATTATCGGGGGGGGGGGGGGAGAAGAAAAACCAAGGAAACAAAGCCCTTTGTTTTATTTTTTCATGCTGCAAGATTGTGATTTAGAGATACATGCAAGGTTATATGCTCTCAGGTTGGAGAGTGGCATGTGGATGAGAACTATGGTGTAAGATAGTCACTTACTCAAAAAAGTGTATTTGCTCAGCCCTGCATTATGGGACTCTTGGGAGTATTTGTGTGTCAGTGAGGAAGAGAGGGAGGGATGGAGATTTGTTTCACATTTTCGACATTAGAGGATCTCCTTTTGTAATAAATATTTAAATTCATCTATTTCGTTATATTATTATCTCTATGTTCAGGTTGACAGGTTAATACAAGACCTTTGGACAAATTAGCTGTGGTCCTTTCCAGAAAAAACTACGATTTTAAACCCCCAGTGCAAAACAAGTACTCATTTTACTTGCAGTTTCATTTTGAATATCCAGTAGATATTAGATATAATATGGAGATCCCTTTTAAGTACTTTGAAAATTATTTGATGTACATTCTGTACATGATGTGCATTTAGGAAGAAAGGAAGATGCTGTGTTGTTTATTTCTTGTGACATCATATTGCTTCCTTAAAGGCATAAAACACCTCTTTTTCATTAATATAGCAGCAACCTACTCAATTGCATTTTTAGCAATCCTCATTTGAATAAATAACATTTAGACTCACAGTTGAACATAACATAGAGGTCATTTTTTAAAAGTAAATTATCCTTTTGAAAGGTTAAGTCCAAAACCCTTTTTTGTTTTTAGAAAGAGAAACTTTTAAAACCCTACTACCAGATACATCCTACCTCTGTTCATGCCCAGCGTTTATTTTTTAAATTTTAAACTTACATTTGGCCTGGCCATAGGTTTTTTAAATCCTTGCGTGTTACTGTTTATATGTGAGTTATATTAATTGTGTTGGGTTTTTTTTATTGATTGCTTCTGTTTTATTGATGTGTTGTCAGGCATGACCTCACATAAGCCGCTCCGAGTCCTCTTGGGGAGATGGTGGTGGGGTATAAATAAAATTTTATTATTTCATTATTATTATTTATTTCTATCTCACCCTG